CTGGCCTGATTCTGTGCGCTTGGCATGGGAGGCAGCCTCTGGAACCTCACCATAGCCGGTACAAACAAAGCCAATCCTTTGGAAACTCTCAGCCCCCAAATCCAGGCTGAGACCCCTTTGGTCTCAGCCTTGAAGGAACACAGCTCTGTGAGAGCCAGAGGATATATTCTCCTGCCCAGTCGGCCAGTCCCTGCTCTTTCTCCTCTGCCTTCCCTGGGTGCCTCTGGCCCCACCTCACCTCGAGGGAGCCAGCAGACACCCTTCCCACCCCGTGCTTCTACAAAGCTAGTCCCTTGGCCTTAATTGTCTGAATGCAGGGTGATTTGTCATCACACCTTTATTAATGAGGAAGAAAGAGAACAGCCCCTTATTTGGGGCAAGATATTAGTAGAACTAGAGGGGGTAATTAGGGCCAAGAGAGACTTGAGCTTTTTTTTTTTTAATATTTTTATTTATTTCTAGGAGAGAGAGAGAGAGAGCGTGAGCAGGGGAGGGTCAGAGAGAGAGGGAGATACAGACTCTGAAATAGGCTCCAGGCTCTGAGCTGGCAGTCAGCACAGAGCCTGATGTGGGGCTCGAACCCACGAACCGCGAGATCATGACCCAAGTGAAAGTCAGACGCTTCACCGACTAAGCCACCCAGGCGCCCCCACTTGAGCTTTTAAAAAACCACAGAAGACAAGACATTTGTCTTCAGATAAGAAGAGATCTGACTTGGGAAAGAAAAAAAACATTTCCTGGATCCCAGTAGGATTTTGCCAGCTCAAGCTCTGGGCCAAGGGAGCCCCGAAGGGAAGAGCCACCACGTGGGGACTGGTCCACAAGGCCTTTCATCATCTTGGAACCTCTAGGAAGACGAGAAGAGTCAGGTCCTCCTCTGAAACCCCGAAGGGGTCGCTTTCCAGCATCTCTGGGTGCCTCTTTGGATCCAGAAGAGCAGTTGGGGTACTCTGTGCCTTGTGGTTAGTCATCTCCTTCAAAATAGTAGAATGTGAGAAGAATTTCTTGATTTCTGCTGATACCATGGGAGGGGTCTCCACACTCCGTGTTCTAGAAGAGGTGGAACAGAGCTCCTGGAATGGAGGAAGAGAGGGCTGCGGAGTCAGCTCAGGCTGGGAGAGGGAACTAGAAGGAATATTCTAACCCCCTGAGCAAGGAGCCAGGAGCAGATGTTTTGGAATCTCAGTTGGGATCCGTGACTGGAGAAGGGGGTCAGGACATCTTCCTGATGAGCTCAGAAGGCTTCTCTCACCTGCGCAGTAAGCTAGAGATCATGAGCACAGGAGGCCAGGACACAATAAAATGTCCTACAAAGCCAGGCTTCTCACCAGACCCTGAGAGTCCTGCTGGACTCCTGAGTTGGACGAGGATGATGGCACCTCTGTGCAAATGGGCTCCCTCCTCCTCGGATGCCCCAGTGTGTCCCTTTAACAAACAGGCTCTGTGTGGTGGTGGACAGAATAGCATGTCCAGTTGCCTGAGAGAGAAGAAAGAGTGTTGAACATTAATATTTTTGAGGACATTTGAAGACCTTGACCCCTCCTACCTCCTTGGGTCTCATAGAAGCTGAGATCCCATAGAAACATCCCTCCCTTGGACTTCTACAATTTTCTCATGTTCACTGATACTAACAGGAAGTCTGTCAGCAAGTCTTTTCTAACATTTAAGTTGTCTGACAAGTAGGGTGGTTCTTCTGAGCCCCCAACTATTCACTGTGTCAAACTGAGCAGGCTCCTGTCCTCCATTAAGACCTGGGGTCCCCAGCTTCAAAATGGGGGAAATAGCAGTGACCTTTAGATTCTCTGCGGAGGGGATATGAGGCAGTGGATGAAAAGTGCTGGCACCATGGCTTGCCCAGTGTGTGTTCAATAACAGATATTTATGATTATCCTTGTCACAAATCTTACCCTACTGCAGTTCATTAATAACGGCAGTTAATAGGAGTTAAAATGTCTATTGTGTACACTCCAACTAAATCCAATGTAATACAAAGGCCATTTATCCTGAGGGTAGAAATGTGGCAAAAAGAATCTTCCAGAAAGATGCCAAGATGGAGAACATCCTTCAAAGAATCCTAGCCCTGGCAGCCAGTGGTAATATATTAATTGTTTGGGCCTCATGCTGAATGGAGGAGAAAAAGGTTTAGGGGATTATCTGGAATAATCCCTTTCTTCACGTCCTGAGACTTCAAAAAAATCCACTTGTGATCCAGCCCAGGTAGGGAGTCATCCCTACATTTTGGCAGATTTGCAAGCACTGAATATAGCTTCTGGATTTTTGTGGGGTGGTGTTTGGTATACCATGATTGATACAAAGAGATTTATTTGTTTGCCTAATGTCACGTCCTTGGTCAGGCTCTCTCTATTTGAGATGTCTTAAGGGTAGAAAGGGGTCTTTGAAGCTACATTTGCCTCAGTTGTCATCTAAATCTAAGGAAATGTTAATTATCAAATTATACTTGGAAGGGAGCCAATGGGTTTATGGTTAGCTTCCCGAGGCACCAGAAATGGCTGGGGCTGATCTAATTGCTGTCTGGGAAGTGTCCTTTGTGGGAATAACTCTGACACTAAAAGAAAATGTCTCCTGGAAAGAGCTGCCATGATGCTGATGGGTGGCTGGCCCACGTTTATATGTCTCCCTGGCTCCAAGATCCCAAAGGTCCTGGGTGTCCATCCTCTGTGGAGCTTTCAGACTTAGACACGTCTGACTTCCTAGGGTTGGCTGCCTCTCCTTCAGCTGACACTCTGAGATTTTCTCTTCCCAGGCCAAGTCCCCAAGCTAATCCCATCTTTCTTGGAGAAACACCCTTTTCCTCCTGGGAGGGTCTGAAGGCAGAATTTCCCTCCACGCCCTCAAGAATGATGTTGTCTCTACTTCAGCCACTCCCTTGTTATGTCTCTACTGAGAGAAATGTCTCCCAATCTCCAATCTCCCTGTTCCCCAAGGAAAATAACCCATAGTTTACAGTCTTGAGTCATTCACAGGGTCCCATTAGGATCACCACCTCTGCCCTGCCCATCCCCTAGCCCCACTTTCTCCTTATGACTTTGACCTAGTCTTCTTTAGAGAAGTCTTAAGATCTGGAGAACCAGCCACACCTCAGCTGCCCCACCATGCTCCCTGACTATGGCTCCTGCTTTTCCTTAGGTCTACTTGACCTAAAATGTAAATAAGCAACAACTTGATTCAGAGACCTATATTTTCTTTTCTTTGGGGATGATACCACTGTCTGCGTGAAGCTGTTTTAACTCTGGAACATCCTAATAATTTTGATGGGGTCATGGATCCCCCAACAACTGATGCTCTCTAAGGTCGGGACAGATTAAACTTCCTTGTCTCACACCCAGGCCTAGACCACCCCCTATTAGTAAAACCCAATCCGTTTTTGTGGAGTAAATCAATTAATGGGTCTTTGACTTTCTCCCCTCCCTAATCCTTTCTCCTTCCTGAATGGGCATGCGATTCAGTCAATTAATCTGGAAAAAGGCAAAGAGCCAATCAGGAATAACCAGATGAAAACTGAAGACCAGTACCATTCTCCAATTAGAAGTTAGTGGTTGAAAGGGGTGGGGCACATGGGATTAGAAAGGTATATAAAAGCTTCAGGCACCAAAGAAGAAATACAGAGCCCTCTATCCTTGGAGCCGCAGCCTTGGGTTCTCCGCCAGGCCCCAGATATGAGCACCGGGATGACTGCCTCCAACCCGGTAAGTTGCTGTCTCAGCCAAGGACATTCCCATCCCATGCAGCCCAAGATGGTGCCGTTTTCTTTTTCCCTAATTTTTGAGGTGAGCAGATTTAAGGCTTTGGGTTTGGGGGTTTTTTTAATGCTTTTTTTTATTTTGAGAGAGAGCTCATGAGGTTTTGCACAAGTTGGGGAGGGGCGGAGAGAGAGGGAGACACAGAATCTGAAGCAGGCTCCAGGCTCCAAGCTGTCAGCACAGAGCCCAGTGCAGGGGCTCAAACCCACGAACTGTGAGATCATGACCTGAGCCAAGGTCAGACGCTTAACCTACTGAGCCACCCAGGTGCCCCTAAGTACAATGCTGCCTAAATCCCAAACTTTTTAATTTTGTGCTTTGGTTCATGTCATTTTTAAATGTCTTAGCCAGGCAGATTAAAAAAAATTTTTTTTAAATTTTTATTTCTTGACATTTTAAATAGTTTGTGCCCTTAGATTATTTCTCACTCCTATATTTTACGGCTTTGTGATTTTACCAGTTTTTTCTTTTTTAACTAAAAGCTTAAAAACATTCCATATGAGGTTCCTGGGTGGCTCAGTCAGTTGAGCCTCTGATTCTTGATTTTGGCTCAGGCCATGATCTCACCATTGTGGGACTGGGCCCACACTGGGTGTGGAGACTGCTTAAGGTTTTCTCTCTTCTCTCTCTCTTCTCTTTCCCCCTCTTTCTCCCTTGTGCATGCATGGAAATGTATTTTCCACTGTTTTTCACTGCTACTCTCAAATTCTGTATAATAACTGTTATATGGCTTGTATGATTTCTTATTTAAAACTTTTAGAGGTATCTCCTTCATCTTTCCCAGTCACTGAGCACGAGCAAGGCCATGTGACACTCCCCTTCTCTTTGTTTAAGGGCCTTGAGTGATGATCTAAAAGTTTTCCCCCAAAAAAGGTGGGGCCAGCCCTCAGGCTCCTCAGTACCCCTCCTCAGTGAAACTGGAATTAGGCGAAGCAGGGGCTGGAAATGTACGGGACAGCAGTCGCATTTCCTTCTCCTTGTAACTTGTAAGACACTTGGCCTGGTGCCCTCAGGGGCAGAGCGATGGTTCTGTGGCTGGACACAAAGCCCGGAGTGGATCTGGGGTGAACTGAGGCTCTTCCACCATTGCCAGAGCCGTGACTCTGGCCATGAGTTGGTTCCTCCCAAGCCTGGGGAGAAGATGGGCGTGTTCAGGCTTGGCCTGGGAAGGACGCCTTGTTCTCTTGATGTTGCCACCTCTTGACATTGTCACGGGATTCCTTTCAGAAAGGATTCTGGATGTGGACCTGGACCCCACCCAGACTCCTGGAACTGGCGGGAAAGAGCCTGCTGAGGGATGAGGACTTGGCCATCGCTGCTCTGGAAAACCTGCCCACAGAGCTCTTCCCGCCGCTGTTCATGGCGGCCTATGCTAGCGGGTGCAATGAGACCCTGAAGGCGATGGTGCAGGCCTGGCCCTTTGCCCGTCTCCCTCTGGGGGGCCTGGTGCAGATGCCTGACCAGAGGACCCTACAAGCCGTGCTTGGTGGACTTGACCTTCTGCTTGCCCGGAAGGTTCGCCCCAGGTAAGGCTCATCCATGTAGCCCAGTAGGGTCCTGGGTGTCCCGTAAGAGGCAGCTGGGGTGGGGAGAGAGTGGATGGTCAAAGGGTGGATTAGAGATATCTGAAGAAGCTCAGGACTTGGCCATTGCTGGACTCCCTGTGGGACATGCCTTCTGGAGGTGAGGGCTGCTTGAGACACAGGAGCCCCTGAGAGCATGCCTCTACCTCCTCCCAGTGATACTTAATACTAGAAGCAGACACTAGGGAGGAGGGGAAGGGAAAAGATAGAGAAAAGGAAGGCAGAGCTAGGGAGCAGCTGTCTGGGATGTGGCGTGAAGGCACAGGTGGGAAGTCCATTGTTGCCCAGATTGAGACTCACAGTCTCATTCTACACTGATCATGAAATAAAGCATCTCAGCCAACCTTCCATGTTCCCCACAGGAGGTGGAAACTGCGGGTGCTAGATTTACGGAACACCAGTCAGAACTTCTGGAGCGTGTGGTCTGCAGCCACCACCCATGAGTGCCTGTGGGTGGGGCCAGTGGCCGAGGACAGCTTAAGGATGAAGGAGCCCTTGGGTCCCTTGGTGGTGTTCATAGACCTTTGCCTCAGGCATAAGGCGCTGGATGAAGTCTTTGCCCACCTCATTAGTTGGGCCACAAAGAGGAGAAAGTCACTACAGCTGTGCTGTAAGAAGGTGACGATTTTCAGAATGCCCATCCAAAATATTAAGAAGGTCCTGAATAAGGTGCAGCTGGACTGTATCCTGGAGGTGGAGGTGAAGTTCACCTGGAAGCTGTCCACCCTGGGCACGTTTGCTTCTTACCTGGGCCAGATGACTAATCTTCAGAGGCTCGTTCTCTCCCACATCCACGAGCCCTCCAAGGAGGAAAGGCAGCAGATCACTAAGTTCACCTCCCAGCTCCTCCAGCTTCATCACCTGCGGAAGCTCCACATGGACTCTCCCACCTTCCTGGTGGGCTGCCTGGACCAGATGCTCAGGTGAGGTCGGGCCCACCGTGGGTGTAAACAGTGAACCCAAGACTGTGATGTCAAGTGCACCGTGTCGTTGGCTGTTCTGTCCTGAGTGTGGGATCATATAACCACCCAAATAAAGGGTCAGAGGTTGTGGAAAAGAGACACTTTGCCAGGAAGCCACACACGGTGGAGTTCAGATGTAGTGAGGGCGGGCTTGTGCATTCTTCCTTGGGAAGAGAGGTCTGAGTTATGATGGCGTCGGGAAATAGTGAAGGGAAGAGGGCCCTGAAGAGAGGAGACCACGTCAGACCTGAGCATTTCCAAAGATAAGCTCTGAGCTCACCAGCCTGAACTGGCATGAGCCTGTCTCAAATTCCCTCCGTGAAAGGTTTTTTAACATTTATTTTTCAGACAGAGATCAAAGCACTAGCTGGGGAGGGGCAGGGAGAGAGACTTAGAATCCAAAGCTGGCTCCAGGCTCTGAGCTGTTGGCACAGAGCCTGATGCGGGGCTCAAACCAACAAACCATGAGATCATGACCTGAGCCAAAGTCTGGACACTTAACTAACTGAGCCCACCCAGGTGCCCCTTGCCCTGGTTTACTTTGTGTGTCTCCATTAGCCTCCTGGCCCAAAGATATGGGCACCTCAGGCCCCAGCTGTGGCCTGAAGGGAGCCTGAGTTGAGAGCATTTATGGTTTTGCATGTCCGAGTATTAAAAAATTCGGTGATACCCACGCTTGAATGAGCATATTCTAGCTTGATTTAGCATATTCTAGCGTATTCCATTCCTTCATTTCCGTAAGTGGAGTATGTTGTACTCTGCTTGACAGATGGGGAAAGGGAGCCTTAAAGATTTTGTGAACTTGACCCAGTCACACAAGTGAAAGGGCTCAGCCTGAAATGAGACTGGGATCCTGGGGACTGACCTTCATCAGATGGTCACAGTGATGTGTGTTGGCCTTGGACGAGTCAGTTGTCTCCCCCTTGAGGCCACCTGCTCCCCCGTTCCCCAGAACTAACTGCTTGGTTTCTCTCCAGGTGCCTGAAGGCCCCCTTGGAGACCCTCTCCATAACTCACTGCCGGCTTACAGAATTGGACTTGGCCTGCCTGTCCCAGTGCCTAAGCATCAGTCAGCTAAAGGAGCTGGCTCTGAATGGTGTCAAGCTGACTTCTTTTAGTCTGAAGCACCTCCAAGTTCTGCTCGATACAGTGGCAGCCACCCTCCAGGACCTGGAATTAGAATACTGTGACCTCTCAGATGCCCACCTGGAGGCCATCCTGCCGGCCGTGAGCCGCTGTCACCAGCTCCGGGCTTTCAGTATCCGCGGGAACCCCCTCTCCATGGCCATCGTGGGGCGGCTGCTGCACCAAACCACCAGGCTGCGCCGCCTGAGCCTCGAGGTGTATCCCGCTCCTCTGGAGAGTTACGACAGTCGGGGAACTATCCACCTGGGGAGGCTTGCCCAGGCTCAGGCTGAGCTACGGGAGATTCTGAAGGACTTAGGACGGTCCAGGACCATCTGGCTTAGCACCGGCTCCTGCCCTCGCTGTGGCAGCAACGTGGTCTGTGTTTCAGTCCCCCTTACACACCCCATTAATGGCCTGACGAGTTGAGTTCATCCACCAAAAACTTCCTTCTGGGCACTTGGAAACAGAAATCTAGGCTAGAGGTGTATTGCACATACAGAGGACACAGACCCCTGATTTCAGACATCTGCTCAGCGTGAATGGGGGAAGGACAGGTGATTCAGGGCTGCGGGCGGTGGGCAGAGAAACAGGAACCTGGAGAATTGCTGGGGCCTTCGGGGACCTGTGTCCTGTAGAGTAAGGTGTAGTCACCTTGCCTTTCTGGAGGGGGATTCCAGCCTGAGACCCACATGTGGGAGTTTTCCCTGGGTGGATGGTTGTAAAGAAAAGGCAAGAAATAAAGAACCTTGGTGTGAACTCTCTGGTGCCTTCCGTGATATCTTAACCAGTTGTCCCAATTTACACTTCAGGAATCTCCAGTTGCTACTGACTGGAAAAAGCCGGTACTGAGCTATGGTCAGAAACCATCCCTGATGCCCTGGGGTTTGGCACCAAGAGTTCACACAGCGTATTTACGATTTCCTCCAGTTCTTTAGTCTTCTCTCTGGGGCATCTCTTGTTTCTTGGGGGCCATTCAGGGGGTTAATACACACAACTGGGACGTATACTTAAGTGGCCGATGAGCCACTGGCGCACACGGCTCTTGGGACCCTCGCTGCTGCCTCGGATGCCATGACCCAGGACGTGAGCACTCACCACCGGTCTCCAGATGGTTCCAGAGCCCTCAGTTCCTGGCCTTTGTGCTGAGAAAGGGCTTCACTGCACAAGGCAGAGTCCCGGCTCTGGAAGGGGTTGTTTACACTGCAGATTAGCTGGAGAACTCTGGGCCTCCCTGTGCCTGCGGGTGGGTAGTCTCCGAATTTAACTAGCGGCTAGTAAAGACATCCAAGTTCCTTTATTTTTCATCCAAGTTCCTTTTAGCAAAAACACTAAAATCATACATGTAAACTTTTAATCTATTTTTTGTTTATTTTGAGAGAGCACACGAGTGGGGTTGGGGCAGAAACATAAGAATTGGCTCACATGGTTATGGGGACCGAGAAGTCCTGCCATGAGCCATCTTCGAGCTAGAGAACCTGCAAAGCCACTGGTATAACTTAGTCTGAGACTGAATTCCTAAAAATCAGGGAAACTGAAGGTGTAACTGCAAGACTGAGGCCAAAGGGCCTGACAAGGGAGGACCCCCGTGTAAGCCCCAGAGTCTGAATGGTTAAGAGCCAGGAGCTCCAAATGTTCATGGGCAAGAAGAGAGAATTTGCCTTTCCTTCCCCTTTGGGTTCCATTCTGGTCCCCAAGAGATTGAACGGTGCCAAGAATCTCTAACTTCAGTCTAGTGATTCAAACACCAATCTCTTCCAGAAACACCTTCACAGACACACCCATGATGGCTTTGCCAGCCATCTGGGCATCCCTTAGCAGTCCAGGGGACACACACACAAAACTCATCACGGTGACTCTCAACAAGGACTTGTTTAGAATGAAGGCTCTCTGCTGAGGATTCAGGGGCTGGAGTTGCTGGTGGGTTCCTTAGGCCAGAGCCTCAGTATCCGTGTAAAAGGATAATGTACACCCAGCTTATTGGGTTTTTGTAGGATCCCATGAGATGAGATGATGCACGTGGAGGGCTTGGCAATAAGAGCTCAATAAATGGGTCTTTCCCTTGACTTCTCAATCTTCCCTTATATTCCTGACATCAGGGGAGCAGGACACAAGGGATGCCATGGGACTCAGCTTCTACACGTGGCCACCAATGAATCATGATTCATGCAGCCAGCGCAGGGAGAGGGTGCCTGTGAAAGACTGGATTTACCTAGTGATGGCTGATAAACATTTCCGAACCTCAGGACTTGTGTGCCACCTGCTGGTAGATCCAGATAATACAAGTTGGTATTGCAAGCTGGGCTCTGTTCACTATTTTTTTTTAATTGTTCAGTATTTTTAAAAAATCTGTTAGGCAAATGCGATTTGAGTACAAATACTTGTGTTGTGATAAAAATATTCATATAGATACAGATATTAGAGTTAATATTGCCTTTAAAGATTCTAAAAGAAATTTAGTGGTTTTTTTAAACAAGAAACTTAGCGTTTTTATTTTATTTTATTTTTTTTAAAGTTTAGTTTTGAATTTTTAGGGGCGCCTGGGTGGCTTAGTCGGTTAAGCGTCCGACTTTCGCTTAGGTCATGATCTCGCGGTTCGTGGTTTCGAGCCCCGCGTCGGGCTCTGTGCTGACTGCCAGCTCAGAGCCTGGAGCCTGTTTCAGTCTGTGACTCCCTCTCTCTCTGACCCTCCCCTGCTCACGCTGTCTCTCTCTCTCTCCTAGAGATAAATAAAACATTAAAAAATTAAAAAAAAATAAAATAAAGTTTAGTTTTGAATTTTTAAAAAAATTTTATTTATTTTTGAGAGAGAGAGACAGCATGAGCAGGGGACGGTCAGAGAGACAGGGAGACACAGAATCCAAAGACAGGCTCCAGGCTCTGAGCTGTCAGCACAGAGCCCGATGCGGGGCTGGAACCCACGAACCGTGAGATCATGACCTGCGCCGAAGTCGGACACTTAACAGACTGAGCCACCCAGGCGCCCCTAAAGTTAATTTAGTTTTGAGAGAGAGAGAGAAAGAGCGCAAGTGGATGTGAGGCAGAAGAGAAAGGGAGATGCAGAATCCGAAGCAGGCCCTAGGCTCTGAGCTGTCAGCCTAAACTCCTATGGCTCCTTCCTTCTCAGAGCTAATCACTATCATAACTTTGTTATATATTATCACCATGCATGTTTGAATAACATGTTTATATACATGTATCCGTGAATAACAAATTATTTCAGGTAAAATTCACATCAAAGTCACACTTTATGTATCCTCCTCCTTTTTTTTTTTAAATTATTTATTTCTGAGAGAGACAGAGACAGCGTGAGCAGGGGAGGGTCAGAGAGAGAGGGAGACACAGAATCTGAAGCAGTTTCCAGGCTCTGAGCTGTCAGCACAGAGCCCGATGCGGGGCTCGAACCCATGAACTGTGAGATCATGGCCTGAGCCAGAGTCGGATGCTTAACTGACTGAGCCACCCAGGCGCCCCTACGTATCTTCCTTCACTGTATTTTTTGAGGACCAAGATTTTGTTTTTGAGATTGATCAATATTGAATTCATGCAAATTTTAAAATCAACCGTATTGTGCTATGATTTACTGATAGGAGACTATACACATTTAGTCTACAGTTTGATAAGTTTTGACACACGTGTGCCTCTGTGGAACCAGCACCACACACAGTATATTTCCCTCACTCTCCAAATTTCCTACCACCCTTGGCTGGCTTTTGCTGTCAGTCACCCCTGCCTGGCCCCCAGGGACCACTGATCTGTGAGAATTTTTCATGTTGTTGTTGTTGTGGTGGTGGTGGTGTGTGTGTGTGTGTGTGTGTTTGTCACTATAAGGATCCATTTTCGGGGCGCCTGGGTGGCTTAGTCGGTTAAGCGTCCGACTTTCGCTTAGGTCATGATCTCGCAGTCCGTGGGTTCGAGCCCCGCGTCGGGCTCTGTGCTGACTGCCAGCTCAGAGCCTGGAGCCTGTTTCAGAGTCTGTGACTCCCTCTCTCTCTGACCCTCCCTTGCTCACGCTCTCTCTCTCTCTCCTAGAAATAAATAAAATATTAAAAAAAAAAAGATCCATTTCCCAGAATGTCCTATAAAATGAATCATAATTCTACCTTATTTTCTGTGTCTGGCTTCTTTGAGCCTCATACTTTGAGGACCATTATACTATGTGTACAGGTGATTCCTTCATTTTTTAAAAAAATTTTTAATGCTTATTCATTTTGAGAGAGAGACACACACACAGTACAAGGAAGGGCAGAGAGGGAGGGAAACACAGAATCCAAAGCAGGCTCCAGGCTCTGAGCTGTCAGCACGGAGCCTGATGCGGGACTCAAACCCAGGAATTGTGAGATCATGACCTGAGCTGAAGTTGGATGTTTAACTGACTGAGCCACCCAGGTGCCCCTGATTCCTTCCTTTTTATTACTGTGTAGTGTCCATTGCATGGACACCAACATGCATGTTGGTTATCTACTCACCTCTTGGTGGACATTTGTGTTGTTTCCAGTTTGTGATTGTTATGGAAAAGGCTGATGCATGAATTATGCATAATTCTTTGTGTGGACATATTTCATTTCTTTTGGGTAAATACCTAGAAGAGGGGCTGCAGTTTTGAACAATAAGCTTATGCTTATCTTTATAAGAAACTACATTTCCCTGGTAATCAATGACGTTGAAGACATTTTTGCGTACTTATCTGGCATTTGTATATCTTCTTCTGTGAAGTATTTGTCCAAACGTTTTGCCCATCTCTTTTGGTCTTCAGATTTTTTAAATGTTTGTTTGTTTTGTGTGTGTGAGAGAGAGGGAGCATGAGCAAGCAGTGGAGGGTCAGAGAGACAGGGAGAGAGAGATTCCCAAGCAGTCTCCATGCTGTCAGAGCAGAGCTGGACATGGGCATTTTTGTTTTTTTGTTTTTGTTTTTGTTTTTTTGGACATGGGTATTTTTGTATCCTTTGGGTAAATACCTAGTAGTACAGTTGCTGTACTCATAGGGTAGCTCTATTTTTAACTTTTTGAGGAGTCTCTGTACTGTTCTCCAGAGTGGCTGGACCAGTTTGCATTCCCAGCAACAGTGTAAGAGGGTTCCCTTTCTCCACATCCTTGCCAATATCTGTTGTTTCCTGTGTTATTAATTTTAGCCATTCTGACAGGTGTGAGGTGATATCTCATTGTAGTTTTCATTTGCATTTCCCTTAGAGTTTATAAACAATTTTAATTTTTGATCTTCTGACCGTACCACTGAGAAAATATTGACAGGGCACAGACTAGAAGAAAATATTCACAATACATATATCTAGCTAGGGCTTGTGTCTGGAATATATTTAAAAATTCTTACAACTCAGTAATAAGACCATGGGGTGCCTGGGTAGCACAATGGCCCTAAGGTAAGTAGGCATGTGTCTTCACTATACTATTATTTTTTTTACAATTTTTAT